CCTGACTGATAGCTGGGAAGCCAGCATAGGACTGTTCCAGGTCCCCTGAACCTGGGTGTCAGTGAGGAAACCTCAGCAATCTATGGGGCTTCTGGCAGTAGATCAGTATTTATTCCTAGTACACCAATTAAATTTGGGAGCCCACTCCATTTAGAGGGATAGTTTATCAGCCTAGACACATGGGAGGAGGGCCTAGGCCCTGCTCCAAATAATATGACAGACTTTGAAGATCCCCCATGGAAGGCCTCACTCTCTCTGGGGAGCAGAAAGGATATAGGGGTTAGTGAGGGGGCAGAGGACGAGGGGAGGGAGAGGGAACTGAGATTGACATGTAAAACAAGCTTGTTTCTAATTTAAATAAAAAAAGAGAAAAAAGATTAAAAAAAAAACTACCAATGGGTGTCTGGGCCTGTGGATGGAAGGAAGTCAATCATGGGCCAGGGATGAGAAAAGTTGTGTCTCGATTGAAATAGAATTCTTATTTACTGTGGGAGAGGCTAGATCTCAGTGTGTCATTCTTAATATCTAATACATACAGGTTAATACCGGCTTTTGGTAACAAATAACACCATACAGCATAGTGTGTTAGATAAATAATTAGGCTTAAATAACAACTCTTTCACTAAGTTAATAATTGAATTGTTATCAAAACTGGCTGGTTATATTTTAATAGACTAATATATATTAGGCTAATTATTTACTTTTTAAAACTCTAGTTTTCCTATCAAAAACTGGCTTATATAGTATTTTTCATCCCCCCCACAAGTACAATAACTTTTAAAGAATTAAAAGGAATGAAAAACAATTTTACATGCTAGAAATACTGATAGGTATCACTTATTAAGTGACTTTTTGTTAGGGTATACGATGCCCGTCTTAAGCATTTTATGATTGTTTTATTTACTCTCCTGAACACATATATAAAGTAGGCGCTATTATTTTCATTTCAAGTTTATAGGTGAAGAGAGACTGAGAGGGGTTTTGAACTTATACAAACTCACACTGTTGTAAGTATCATAATAAGATAAAGACCCAGGGAATGTGGCCAGAGACCACTCCATAAGGAAGTGGGTATATGCTGAAAATAATACAAAATACCATAAGAAAACAGGTACATGCTAAAAACAATACATAATAGTGGTTTATAAAAGATGGTTGAAGATCTGATTCTGTCATTTTATTTCCTCCAAATCTTGGTACCCAGTGAGCAATAAATAACTAAAGAAGACCTTGCCAATGTCCCACCCTTGGTGGGCTGAGCAGTCAGCAATAGCTCTGGCCATACCCATCCTTCTTGCTATTCCACTAAGACGTCCAGGACTGGAATCCTTTGTGATTCCAAAACATTATTTCAGCTCAGTTTAGCTGACTCTTTCTGAGGGAAGCCTACAATGGTTTTTGCCCCAAGAAGGTCTTCCGATGTTAACTGTATAGCCTCCAAACAACTTAGTGGTAAATCGTTTACAGTCCTAACCAGGATATCACAATGGCAGGGAAGCGTAAAAGCTATGTCCCATATGACTGCTCCATTCCTACTCCAAGCCCTGCAATGACTTCCTACATAAATCCATTTTAAGAGTCTGTGTGAGGTTTAATAACACACAAGACATCTCCTGGTGAAATAGACCAGTAGTCAGGTGTGTGGCACAGAGGCAGACACTTTATTTAATTGACGAGAAGATAAACTTTAAACCCAAGGATAAATTTATTACAGCATTCTTTCAAGAGTTCTTTTAAGAGTCGTAGATATAATTAAGAGGATACTCGAATGGCATTTTGCAACTATTATTTAATCTATTTTATGTCTTTTTCTTCAGATAGTAAATATAAAGAAAAAGTTAAAGTGATTAAGTGTATTTGTGTAATTACTTTTGAGAAAAGGGAACCTTTTCATAACGTGGTCTAAATGGAAAAACTCTGGCTCTTATTCCAGGAAGAGAATAAGCATGGAAAAACCCAATGAAAAGGTCATTCTTAACTGAAAGTGAAAGAATGAAAACAAGTTGGGAGCATAAGGTAGAGGCAGGAACAACACACAGTATTCTCCAAGAAGAAGAGATGTCTGATAACTCATCTGATCTTTAAGAAAGTTATGAAGCCATGTAGCATTTCTCTTCATAGAAATTATTTGGTAACCTGTGGAGAAAATAAACTGAACACCATGTAAACACTTTGGAGAGAAAGCACCCAACACTGCAGGGAGAGACGCCTCTTAGTCTTTGGTCCCTTTATGGGAAACTTCTATTCTTTTTTATTTTTCCAATTTTTTAATTTAAATTAGAAACAATCTTGTTTTACATGTCAATCTCAGTTCCTTCTCCCTCTCCTCCTCCCCCACTCCCACTGGCCCCCTATCCTATCCCCTTTCTGCTCCTAGGGAGGGTGAGGCCTTCCATGGGGGATCTTTAATGTGTGTCATATCATTTGGAGCAGGGCCTAGGCCCTCCCCCATGTGTCTAGACTGAGAGAGTTTCCCTCTATGTGGAGTGGGCTCCCATAGTCCATTTGTGTACTAGGGATAAATACTAATCCACTACCAAAGGTCACATAGATTAACCAGACCTCAGTCATTTGCCATTTGGATTATTTCATGTTCTAGGAGACATGGAAGACCTGGGGAAATGATTTGTGTCTAGCTGAAAGACATTTGTCATCTCAGAGTTGTATCTGTGTCAAGAAATATAAGTTTTTGTGACAAGGATAGACCATGGAAGTTGTTTTATTTCCTTTTTTTTTAATGAGGAGATTTGTAAAGTTGCTTTTAAATTAAAATAAAAAGAAAGAAAGAAAAAAAGTACTGGGCCAGGTGGTGCAAAGAAGAAAACTATGATCCCAAAGGGTTGGAGAGATGGTTCATCAGTTAATAGCACTGGCCACTAGTCCATAGGACCTGGATTTGATTCCCAGCCCTCACATAAGGGCTCACAACCAACTGTAACTCTAGTTCTACGGTATTTGATGCTGTGTTCTGGCATCCAATGGCATGAATACATAAGTGGTGCCTGGACATACATGAAGGCAAAAGAGCCATACACATAAAGCTTCAACCTTAAAAAATTTATTCCAGTGGCATACGTACAGAGGCATGCACACCTTGTGTCCCCAGCACTAGAGAAGTGGAAGCAGAAGACAGACTGGGGTAAAAAGCAAGTTCAAAACCAGTCTAGGCTATAATATGAAGCCCACAACAATACAAATTCTATCAATTTTCTCGTTTGAAGAGAATTCAGAACACTAAGAACACTCAGAATTATGTATCTCACATACCAAGTAAAATGTTCTCATCTTTGCTTTGACTTCTTTTTTGAGACAGGTCTCTCTACTGAAGCCAGGCTGGCCTCAAACTGCCACCCCCCTCCCCCACCTCAGCCTCTGGAGCACTGGAATTAAGGTGTGTTTCCACACGCAGCCATAAAGACTTGTTGTCATCCCCAACCATCAAGAGGATACTCTTACTGTCTGTTGGGACCCTGTACGCTCCACAGGCACATTGCAGCAGTCTCAGAGCTGGGAACCAGAAGGTCTGCTTTTGCTGCTAAGCATCCTGCTTCTTGTGTCTCTGGACTTCCTACCTTCCTCTAGGTGCTACAGTGCTGAATAAAATCAACTACTCAATCCAAAGTCACTGAGGGAAGGGAGGGGGCTGCATTATTCTTTTTAATGTCTTTTTCTACACTGATATAGAAAAAGAGTACAAATTGAGTACTAACTGAGGAGGATCATTACACCTGAAGTATACCCTAGTTACAACACGGGACACATTTGTCACACCTTCCAACACTACAGCACCAAGAGATGGAAATGGAGTTTGTCAATAAGAAGAAGCTCTGGAAAAGCATGACGCCTTATAGCAGTAATTTTGGTTCAGAATGTTTAGTTGACTTTTGTGCCCTTCCCCCATTGTGTCTTCAGTGTCGCTTATGTCAGAAGTTTGGAAACCCTGTTTCTTGGATTCCTTACTTGACAAGGCTAAGAACTGGCAGGGTTCTGCCAACATGGTGTCCTTACACTGGGGTTGTCAAAGTGGAGTGGAGTGGGGCAAATTTTCTCTTCCTTCTTTCCTGCCTTCCTTCCTTCCTTCCTTCCTTCCTTCCTTCCTTCCTTCCTTCCTGCCTGCCTGCCTTCCTGCCTTCCTGTCTTCCTTCCTTCCTTCCCTTCCTTTCTCCTCCACCTCCTCTTTCTCCTTCTTCCATCCTCTGGCTATGGTGACAAGAGTGTTTATTTGGGGGTTTGGCTCACATGATTAGAGAGGACGGGAGATTTCATGACAGGCTGGGAAGGTGGTGGTGTAACTAGTATAAGTTTGAGGATTTCAGAATCAAGGAACCTCTCAGTCTGAGGCTGAAGGCTCAGGTTCAGGGGTCTTGCTAGTGCATGCCTTAAGAGTCCAACGTCGGAAGACCCTTCGATGCCGACACCCAAGGCCAGCAGTGAACTCTGGCTCCTGAAGAGAGAATGAGTGAGTTTGCATTTTCTTGTTCCTTTGTTCCATCTGCAACTCAGCTGGTTGGATAGTGTCTGCCTTCACTGGATGACAATGGATTTTCCTTAGCTCACGGATCCCATTGCCCAGTTCTTCTAGGAACATTTTGTCAGGCATATTCAGAAGTAACACTTTACTGACCATCTGGGTATCCATTAATCCAGTCAAGCTGACATGAAAATTAACCACTAGTGCTAGTTAAAATACTTGCTATGGTTTCTAATTTCCTTTAGGAATCCTGATGGATACAACAGAGATTTTGCACATTTATGCTTTTCTTTCTTTCTTTTTTTCTTTTTTTTTTTTTTTTTTTGGTTTTACGAGACAGGGTTTCTCTGTTTTGGAGGCTGTCGGTCCAGCCTGGCCTCGAACTCACAGAGATCCGCCTGCCTCTGCCTCCCGAGTGCTGGGATTAAAGGCGTGCGCTACCAACGCCCGGCAACCATTTATGCTTTTCTAATAAAGAAGTTTTTATTCCTGGTTACTAGAGTTAAAAAAAACTTCGGAAAATACACCATTTTAAAGATTTATTTTAATTTTTAAATTATGTGTATATATGTTTGGATGCTTGTGTAAGTGCAGGTCTCTAGGTGAATGGAGGTTAGAGGTTTCAGATCACCCTGGAACTGTGGGCATGGCAAAATGATGAGATGAATTCTTTTTTATTCTCTTCCAGGGCTTCACATAACTGTACAGGCCGGACAAGGATGAGGATTTCTTGCATTTCTGGGGCTTCATTGGGGTGTTTTTTCTCCAGAGGGACACTGTATTGGGGAGGTTTCTCCTACCTATAGCTCCTGCCTCCACACATGATTCCAAGGAGGTAGCCCTTCCAGAAGGTTGTCTACTTGCCACAATTGTCTTTGGTTCATGGAGGTTCTCTCTCATTCTTACTCTTGACAGATAGGGGTCACCCTGATTTACTGCAGGCTAATGTGGGGGCAGAGGAGATCCATATTTCTTCCTAGAGGAAACAGCAGAGTGGGTAACCGGAATGTGGTCCAGCTGGGCAGTCTCAGCAGAACACAGCTTCTGCATCTAGCCTCCAGGGAATTCCTATGCAGGGAGAAAGGGAGGAAGGAGTGGAGTAGGCAAGAGTGAGTACTAGACAGTGATGTCAGTGTTGTTTGTGGAAACACTTGCATCAGGGGATCTTAGTATTTCTTTTTAAATAGTTAAAACATGACCCCACAAAGTGTCCTTTGCCACTGAGAAAGACTTTCCTAGGAGGATGCAAACCAGAGTTTTGATTCCCACATCACCTTAGAGGGACCCAAGGGAATCATACATCCCCTGTGGTCAGTCACATATCCCTTGTGGCTATAATGGGCTCCTGTACAAAATACTTTTGCCAGAGGGGACTGAACAACTGGCATCTATTCTGTGATATAAAAGTTTGGTTGTTTATGTACGCTCTGCATTTCATTTCCAGCTTTCTTACCTTTCACTGAACACACACACACACACACACACACACACACACACACACGTTTAGAAATAGAGCATTTGCTTATTGTGCTTATCCTGATCTGTGTAAGTCAAATGACAAACTCTGCTTCACTTCTGAGTTACTCAAACGATATTCTGGTATTCCAGCTTCTTAAAAAGAAGATCTGTGAAAGAAGGAGAAGAAGGACATGGAGAGAGGGAAGGAAGGAAGAATGAAAGGGAGGAAAGAAGGAAGAAAGTAAAAGTAGCATTGATTCAGGATCTTTAATGAAGCCAGGAAGCTGCTATCAATCAGGTTTCAAGCATGTTTTCCATGCCTGTTTACAGACGAACCATTGAACAGGGCTGCAGACAAGGCTCCTTTCTCCGGATATGAGCTGACCTTTGTATTGGGCCAAACCCACAGTTTCTGGAAACATTGTTAACCTCTGTTAACCTTCAGTATCATGGACTCCTTCCCAAACTACCCAGAAACTAAAACACACCCACCTCTTTCTTACAAGACAGCTCAGTGTTTGCTAGTACACATCATAATTCATGACTAATAAGTGATGTGATTTCCAACTCTCTGGAAGTTTAAAACTATAAATACAGTCACCATTCTGTAAAACCTTGGAGCACATGTTAAATTTGCATTTTCCTGGAGTATAGTCTTAATTAACCTCCATCAAATGTAGTCTGTGTGTGTGCGCACACGTGTGTGTGTGTATGTGTGTGTGTGTGTGTGTGTGTGTGTTGATAATCATGAGCTTATTGGAAGGAATACATTGTCATCTTCTCTGGGTTGGGTCATAGAGGAAACAGCTTAGATATTAAACACCATAACTGTGGAGAGGGAGGATATTTTGTATTTAATTAGAAGCTAGTTCAGTTGCCATCATTTTTTCTTTTCCTCAACGAATGCAGAAGACTTTGGTTTCCTGTCAAGGACATTGATGACATCCAGAGAAGTCTGAGATTCTAAGTCACCACATTTTCACTCAGGATGAAGTTAGTAGATTACATATTTAACAAGCTTTAGCAAAACCACCAATAGGCTTCCAGACCACAATTTTTAAATTAATTTTTTAAAATTAAAGACAATCTTATTTTACATACCAATTCTAGTTCCCTCTCCCTCCTGTCCTCCCATTCCCCCCACCAAACCCCCATCCCACCCCCCCATCCACTCCTCAGGGAGGGTGAGGCCTCCCATGGGGGATCATCAAAGTCTGTCACATCATTTGGGGCAGGACCAAATGCCTTCCTCTGTGTGTCTAGGCTGAGAGAGTATCCTTCTATGTTGAATGGGCTCCCAAAATCTATTATGCACTAAGGATAAATACTGTTTCCACTGCCAGAGGCCCCAGACCACACTTTAAAATCTTGTACTCCAAAGTGCAGTTTAAGTTTTACTAGAAGAGTCCTTTCTCATATTCTTTTATTCCATACTTTAAATCTCATCATAGAAGCATTTATACTTGGGAAAACTGAAAGAAAATTCTATAAGACTATAAAACTCCTATGTTTATGGTATAAGGCCCCTTTTCTCCTGCCTTCCTTTTCCTTTTTCTCCTCCCCTCTCCTCCCTTCTCCTTCCCTCCCCTCTCTTCTCCTCCCCTCCCTTCCTCACTCCCTCCATCACTCCTTCCCCCTCCCCAGCCTCTGCTTCCCATCTCACTGTAGGAATGCTTGGATTATAGAAACATGCTAGCTAACATGTCAGGGTCTTCACACTTGTGAGGTCAATGATTTACCTTCTCATCTATTTCCCCAACCTAAACTGTTAATGTTTAGCATGCTAGAAGTGAAAAAACTGAGTTAGTGTGTGAGTTCTCTTTGGATACAGTTTTATAATTGATAAGGGAGGGGTTGGACAAATATACAAAAGCACGGTTTATTGCCAAAATATGATGATTAAGGAGAAGATCTGAAAAATAAACCATGGAAAGAATAGAGATGGATGTCCAGATGCAATTGGTTTTAAGTTACAAGAAGAGTGTGCCATGGAAAATGGATACTAATGGGAACTACTGTGGACAAGCTATGGAGTCTAGGTTAGAGAGACAAGTGTTAAAGATTGAATACTGTCTGGTTTGTGAAGCCCAGTGGTATCATTTTAATTGTCCCAACCAAATGGCATAGAAGACCCATAGACTGAAATCTAGGAGCTGCACTGGGAAGTGGGGGACAATTACAACAAGCAATTGGACCAAGAAAGTTATAGAATCAGCAAGGGCATGGATTCTTTCAGGACCTGTGAGGAATGGCATCTACTGTTCTAAAAGACTACAACCAATAGATTCATCACTTCCTTATGCCATAGTAGCTCAAACTAGAAAAAGAAAGAAGTGAGTAAGTTGTATAACTTCCTCATGTTACTTGGAACTTTTTCAGAATTTTCATTCTAATACTAACTATGTTGATTGAAATAGAATAACTTGGAAAACTAGAGAATTTGAAATAAGTGAGTTGCAAACTGTTGGGTGATGTTTTATTGACTAGAATAATCTAGTAAATTTTTGGTGTATTATTTCTTTAAGAGACACAACTAAAAATATTGTACTTACTTTCTTCTTCTTTTTTTTTTTTTTTTTTTGGTTTTTAAGATAGGGTCTCTCTGTATTGTTTTGGAGGCTGTCGGTCCAGCCTGGCCTTGAACTCACCACCACCCAGCTGTACTTACTTTCATACAGTCTAATAATCTCTGATTCCTACTAAATTCTTTTGAAAACAATTTGATTTGGCTTATGGGTAAATAAGTGTTTTCTTGAACAGACTAGAAACATATTAACTCATAATGCATCTGTCCTTTGAGCATAAGGGAGTTCTTACTAATATTTTTTAGTTCCTGGAGGGGCTTAAGTTTTCATGGGAGATATGCAGTCATACTTTGGGTTAGGATATCTGCAATCCATTCAATGAATATTAGTTGAAGTAATCATGTACCGTAAACTGTGTTTAGTCTTGAAGTTGACAAAATGGCTAAGCTAAGAATTCTCCATTAAACTATCAGATATGCTTCAGGTTTTAGACCAGCCAGTGTACAGTTACTGGAAATGCTCATATTCAGGAGCAATTATGATGACAAAAAAGATAGAATTATGGACTATAACTTATACAAAAGGCTCAAAGCCTACATTGCTGAGTTCTAAACAGTTTGTGTGTTTATTATGGTCATGGTTGTACCCAACCATGTCAGAAGCTAAAACATCAATTTATCTGTAAACATAGAGCATTTATTATGAATTTCTATCACTGGTTCATTTCTCATCCCCCTCATCTTATTTATCTTATTCACAAAGTAACCCGTCATCTGATCCATGGACACACCTCAGCACAGTGATGTTCTGCTGACCAGCGAGGCTGGAACAATCTCTCCAGGGTGCTGACCCACAGGAACATCATGGGAACCACACAGCCAATTCAAAATTTTCTATACCATCTTCAGAGAATAAAAGGAAACCAGTATAACTAACTGAAATAGTACATTTGTTTAACACATCGCATCCCAAGTAGTATTATTTCAATGGATAATCAGTAAGAAAAAAGTATGTATTTTACACCCCCTCACTGACACAAAATCTTAGAAACATAGTGTGTGTTTTTTACTTACAGCTGACCTCAGGTTGGAGGAGAAGTAATTTTTGGTGCTTAGAAGCCTCAGAAGGCTAGTCCCTCCCACGCTGGTCAGAGTTGATGCAGAATGTCCTTTCTACTTTTCTCATTCTTGATGGAAAAACCCCGAACCCATAGCCAAGCTGTAAGACTGCCCATCAAATGGCTCACCATTCATCTTAGTTTCATTCCATCCACGGTCTGCTCCTAGGAGAGCAAATGCTTGTTCTAACACTAACATGGCTCTCCCTCCCCCTTTTTAATTTATTTACCCCTATTTCACAAAACTTTCAAAACTCACATGGTTCAGGATCTCAGTACACTTCTTCAGGACACCATCGTTGACTCTTGCTCTCTGTTTTCCTTTATCCCAAGATTGGCCATTGGGCAACCAGTGCTTGTTCACGTACGGATTCGGCACTCAGTTGTATCATTTTCTGTTGGACATTCACCTCTTCAACTAGAACTGTCTGATTATCTTATAGCCACTTCACAGATAAGTGATGTTGAAATGAGTGTTCATTGATTAGCTTATCAAGATTTAGTTTGCTAATATTTATAGATGCATCTACTTAAGTTGGTTGAAGCATATTTATTATTCTATATAATTCAACAGCTTTTTATTGTTGTAAAATATTAGGTGAACCTTTATGAGGCATCAGATTGTACTAGTCAGTTAGCATCTTTCAACACTGGTGAGCATTTTTCTTTGAGTTTGCAATTTATATCACTGTGTTACTTAATTTTCTGCTTTTTAGAATTCTACCATTGGGGGAAAAATCAAATGAGGAAACTGAAGTTCAGTGACGTTAAGTGATTTCTATAAAGGTTGTTGAGCCCACTAGTGATGGAGCTGGAGTAGAAATAGGCCCTAGATTTTCTGCAGTGCTTTGCATTTTCTTTGAATTGCTATCGCTGGAACAATTACATAAGCATATAAACTGCTGAACTGTATGTTTGTGCCTCAAATGGATTTTTACGTCAAACTACGTTAACCCTGTTTCATTGTGGGGCCAATTTTCCACTTGAACTTTTACTTGTATTAAGCATGTTTTTTTCTTTACTGTGGCAGATTTTCAAAGTTCCTGAATTTTTCATGCGATACTCTTAATTAGTGGGTAAGATGCACTCAGAAGGAGGACAAAGTATACCCCAAGTTAATTACATATTTTGATTTTTCCATAGCTTCCTGAATTCTGCTTCATCAGTCCGTGTAAGTTTAGGCCTGTCTGTCAGCACTTGAAATCTGAAAAGAAACTTGATGCATGTTACTTCCAATGATACATTTTGGTTCAATTTATTTTGACAGAGATCTAGTTTCACAAATTATTTCCTCTTAAGGAGTGAAGGGACAGAGTTGGTAAGGTTGATATGTTATATGTACAATATTGCATAATAGTAGAGTCTAAATATACAATAGTAACATTTCTTAGGCAGAAAATACATTTAATTTTTTTGTTTTAGTATTTTCTAAAAGTATCTTCCTCAGTTAGGGTGTGAGCTTTAAAACTGTCAATGGAGTAGAATATAAAATTATTTAATTTTTGAGATTACAATATCTTTTGACATTTCTTCTTTCCCTTTCCTTCCTCCCAATCCTCCCAAATAACTTTTCTCACTTTCCTTCCAAATTCATGATTTCTTTTTCTCCAATTATTATTGTATGCACGTATGTATATACGTATATATTCCTAAATATAACGTGTTCTGATGTTACTTGTATGTAGGTTTTCAGAACTGACTGCTTGGTACTGGACAAGCCATCAGTGTGCTCTTCCCTGGGGAAGACTAACTCTCCTGCTTCCAGCTTACCTTAGGTGCTTGTATAGCACTGAGACCTCATGGGCTTTTCTCTGTCTAGCTTGGCATGTCCTTTGGTGCCTAATAAAGTTACACATTGGTAAAGTATATGATTGCATAGCTCAGGCTAACCCTTTTTGGATTAGCATCTTTACTAAGTCTAATAAATTATCTTCGCTTATATAAAAGTTTTAGGACTTCCAATTTGAAGGGAGAGAAGAGTTTAAGTTGAAAAACATTTCAGTCTCTATAGTGTTTTCCCTGCCAGCTATATTTTCTATAGTGTGCTGAAAGACAGAAAATAAGTTATGTGGTTCATCAAATCTATGAATATGACCAGATACCCTGAATATTCTAGTTGAACTACTCTCTAAATTAAATGGGCACATTCACTTAGGGTCTCAAATCCTATTTATCACACATTAAAATGATGAACCTGCACCCTCACGGCAGAGGTCATGTAAATTTAGAGCCTTACCATCCTTTCAAGTTTTATTTCCTTTGGTTCCAAAGAGAGGAGTGGAAATGTTGTTAGTGGATGGAACCTCCCAAGTTTGGGCAGTATAAAGTAGTCATGGGGAGAGAGAGAGAGAGAGAGAGAGAGAGAGAGAGAGAGAGAGAGAGAGAGAGAGAGAGAGAGAGAGAGAGAGAGAGAGAGAGAGAGAGAGAGAGAGAGAGAGAGAGAGAGAGAGAGAGAGAGAGAGAGAGAGAGAGAGAGAGAGAGAGAGAGAGAGAGAGAGAGAGAGAGAGAGAGACAGAGAGAGAGAGAGAGAGAGAGAGAGAGAGAGAGAGAGAGAGAGAGAGAGAGAGAGAGAGAGAGAGAGAGAGAGAGAGAGAGAGAGAGAGAGAGAGAGAGAGAGAGAGAGAGAGAGAGAGAGAGAGAGAGAGAGAGAGAGAGAGAGAGAGAGAATTGGTGAGTAGTGGCAAACAGAAGGATGATAGCGTCTATGAAAGGGTCTCTCACGTTGGTGACTTTCTGTGCAGCAAAACAAAGTTGATTAGTGAATTTACCCTCACGATCTGCATTTTACCCTTTAGCAATGAAGTGCTGTTGCAACTGTCCCCTTCTTCTGGTATTAATTTATGGTTCAGGCATATGAACGAAATGGAATTAGTTCCAATCTGAAAATTCTCAATGCCTCTTCTAGTTACATTTGTTTGGACCACTTTCTATCCTTTTTCTCCTTGTGTGCTTTCCCTCCCAATGCCTGCTCCATCCGTGCCCATAGACCCACTTTGTGTAGGCACCAGGACCCTGAAGTGCTTCAGGACTCTCCCTACCTTGCCCTTACCCACGTAGCTGTTGGCTACAGACTGACTGTGTCAGACTATGAAACTCAGAAGTTTTGCCTGAGGAGGAAATACTGTTATGTGTAACTCACAGTTCAGAAACCGTCCTTCAGGATACTGAGTAAAAAGTTATCCCCAGCTGGGGTCCTCCTCCATCCTCGGCTGCATCTCCCACTCTTACACCAAAGTCGGCTGCGATACTTCCTCAATAAGTTATTTGCATGTAAGTCCTTGTACTGTTCCAGGGTCTGTTTGGGGGAAATCTGGCCTGAGGTACCCTGTTTTCAAGTGGGTTTGAATTTTATTATTGCTATTTTTAGAATGTATAAACCTCTTTATATAACTGAAATTCTACCAAACACAAACATCCACTCTTATCCTATTTGAAACTAGTTTTAAACATATTATTAGTAGGTGTATAATCATTCATTGGGGTCTAAGTTTCATTAACATCTTTGGATTGTGAAGTATTTATGTTGCTTAAATTTATGAACAATTCTATGATTGTTTAGTATTTACTTCATTTTATTATTCTATGATATAGTTACAAAACATGTATGTTCCTATTGAAGTCAACAAAATTTCTGTATTTTTATTGTGTACGTGTCTTGAAATTTGTATATTTCTGTAATGGCTAAATCAAGATAATTAACATGTACATTATTATCTCACATAATTTTTTAAATGTCTTTGAAATTTCAAGAATTGTCATTAGCTGTAACCATCATATTGTACAACATATTGTTTTAAATTTATCTCTCTTACTGAAATTTTGTTCCTCTTGACCAACATCTTCCTAACATACCCTAAATGAATAGCCCCTGTTAGCCATCTTTCTTCTTCAAGTTTAACTTTTCTAGACTCCTGGCCTCTGACTCATTATGCAGCTAAAACTAGCTTTGAGCTCCTAATCCTCTGTTTTAAGAGTTGAGATTTGTGACCTAATTTGCATTTCTCAAATCACTTGATGATATGAACATTTTTGCATATACTTCTTGGCCATTTGTGTGACTACTTTTGAGGAATATCAATTCATGTCCTTCACCCATTTAAAAGCTGCTGTTTGTTCAACTATTGCACTGTTTGATATCTAACATATTTTGGAAATCAACTTGTTATCTGATGTGTAGATTGCAAGTATTTTCTCATGTAAAACATTTATATAACTTGAATAACTTCAAAAGACTTTACTGAATAGACATCCTAAGTTTGCCATCAACCTTGGAAATGCTGGAAAAGATTAAAGTCCTAGATGCTACACAATTTTAATGATGATAGTAATAACCATTATGTAACCACCCATCACCACTCCAGTATTTTCTATTAGGTATTGTGTCAGATGCTTCACCAAGATTATTTTTTTAATACATATGAACACCCACCCACACACCTGCCTACATACCCACCCCACAGTAGTGTCAGCATGCTGGCCATTTTACAGGCAAAAAGAGTGAGTTGAAGTGGCATTGCTTTTGCAAACAAATGTGAATGGGGTTGTGTGAAGGAAGAAGTGACCATGAATGCAGTATGTACTGGGTGCTCAACCGTTGACCACAGAAAGCATAGAGTCCGAGCAGAGACATTCTCCTCTTATATATTAGTGGTCGAAAGTAGGGGCTTATACTCAGAGAAAGATCAGAAGAAAGCAGCTCTCTTTTCCCTGTGCTGTGCACGATGTCTCCAACCCTGTATCAGATGGAAAAATCTCAAAGATTTCCTAGTAATTATGGGTTTTGCATAGAAAAATGTTACTGTCTGTGAGCAATTTAAATAAAAGAAGATTTACTCAGCAGTAAAGTACTAACTGCTCAAATAGAGGGAGCATATTTGCCTTTATGCATTGTGAGCATTTTCATGATGGCCATGCTACGGGAAGATGACATTGACAGGAAGTCATGTGCTGCTGCTTTTCAACTGATGTCAACTCCCATGCTCTGCTTCCTATGACTTATTCCAAAGACTTTTTTGTTTCTTTTTGGTGTGGTATAAAAGATAGGCAAGCAGAGTACAAATTAAAACTGGACTTACTTAAAAAAATAAATTTATTTTACATTCCAGCTGCAATTTCCTTTCCCTCCATGACTTCAGCAACCCCCACTCCCTCTGTTTCCACCCTCACCCCTCAAATCCATTCTTCCTCCTTTCTGTTTAGGAAAGGGCAGGTCTTCCATGAGTGTCAACAAAACATGGCATATCAAACAGCTGGCCTTACTTTAAACTGGTCAAACTAGTTAATCCAGTTAATTTTAATTTGAGTGACAAAGTTTTATAATATTTAAGGAATATAAGGAAATAGTAAAACTAACAATAGTTCCATTTATAT